CTACACAAAATTATTAAGTTTAAACAAGTCAACTAAAAAATCCATACTATACGTAAGTTTGTTTCCAGGTACATGGATATGTATACTACATTGAAGAAAGAAATGATCTCTGATCGAACTAATCTTGATAGAACTAATTTCATGTGGGTATGAAGAAGATGATATCATCATAGAAACCCACTTTAAAAATGAAGACAACATACCTAAGGAACATTCTCTATTTGTGCAAAAGTAGTTACTCATTTTTCTCTCTAATATATTACAAAAATAATGTATTATAGTAATTACTTTTTGTGAAAGTAATATCCCATTTCTATACTTTGATTAGTTCATAGAATAGATATTAATTGATTTTCAAGTTAGAATTGCTTTAGATTATGTTATAAATTTACCATGAACTATATTAAGGTCATAGCATTTCGTAAAGTTTAATGTAATTTCCAAATGAAGACATGCATTAATGTTGATGCCCAAAAGTAATATGTTGATCTGAGGAACCACGCGAAGAAATGTATGTGGTAATATACTTTTAAATTGAAACCGAAATAAATTATGTAAGACATATGTTGAAATCATCAAATCCTTTGTACTCATACAAAGCAGTTCATTGAAGATTTGTGTAACATGCTGATGTTCACGGACTTCTAATTCCTTCATGTCATGATAATTGGTTTGGTGGTTGCAATCTTAGGGTTTAGACACAGCATGTTGGAGGCATCAACATGGTGTTTCTAGACAGTAAAAGACGTGTGTTTTGGATGAGCAACACGGCGTGTTTTCCCTATGGCCACGACGTGTTGACCGCTGTGTGTGAAACCCTAATATTCCGGGGTTTAGTCCCCTATATCTGGATTATGGGGGCTAGGATTTATCCACCCTCATCCTCCATCTGCACTCTCAAGCTTAAGAAGAAACCCTAATCTTTTCCACTACCATTTGTGAAGATAGTTGGTGTTTTGAAGGAAGAAATTGAAAGAAGGAAGCAAGGTTTTAGTGAGCAGGCATCATACTTCAGTGTAGCACTCTCCTAGACCATTATAAGTGTTTAAGTCTCGATTTTTATGATTTATAGTCACTAGATCTTGATTTGTGTCCCTTTTTCTCTTTTTTATGGGTTGATTCATGGAGGGATCTCATAAAGTTTGAAACTTTATGAATCTCCAGGCCAAGGAGATCTTGTAGTGGCTTGGATCTGGTTCCAACCAAAGTTTTGATGTATGCATAAAAAGTGGGTCATGAACTCCCCTTTTAACATAATATTGGTTCAAGACATGCATTAGACATGCATGTCTTATAAAGCACGGATCTTTGGAATGGTTTGGGTGGTTGAAAAACTTATGGAAGGAGGGGAGTTTGGATCTTAAGGATTCAAGACTTTATGGTTGAGCCCTTGCATGGTTTAACATGTAGTTTGGGTGGTTGGACCTTGTTGCGGTCCCAAAGGATAAAGCTGGAAACTTTATCCTTCCTAGCCGCATTTCTATTCCAGATCTAAGCATTGGTGCTCTTGGGGTCGAAAAGTCACCTGGACATCTTAATTTGTTGGGAATCTAGCGAACACGGCGTGTTGGCTGAATATTTCCCATATGTGGAACTATTTATGGAACACGGCGTGGTAAAAAGAAAACACGACGTGTTGGGTCAACCTACGCCGTTGACCTTGAATTTGACTTTGACCAAATTGAAATTGAGGTTATTTTGGGTATTATGGGTTTTGATGGGATTGGTCATTTGATGGTTATAGGCATTTGAGTTGTGAGCTGAGATTCGGAGTTAGGCCTTATCAGTTATGCGTCGCTTGTGAGGTGAGTTTTCGTCACTCTACTTATGTGTCGAAGGCACCAATGCCCATCAGTTTGATAACCTGATATTCGTTGATATGTTGAGTATGGAATAGATATGCATGCTAGTACTGATATGCTAGTTTTATAAATCGGTAGGACTACTTGTGATATTGTCTGTATGATTATATGTATATGTTAGTATCTGTTATATGTCGACATATCATGTGGGTTGGTGTAACACCTGATTCCCGGTATGCATTTAATTTAAGCATTTATGTATTTTTCTCTAGGACTCAACGAGTTGGTGGCCCAACTCGTCGAGTAAGGTCGTGATAAGTGACCTACTCGACGAGTCGGGAGACTGACACGGCGAGTGGGTGCTATTTGAGGAAAGCTCTAAATCTGAGGGTTTGCACCCTATTTAAACGACTTAACTCAGCCTCCCTCGTCCCTATCTCTCCCAAGAAGTTGTATATCGAAACCCTAACCATTTTGTGTGATCTAAGGCCATTTTGGTGCTTTTGGGTGGTTTGTGAAGCTTGAAAGGAAGGAAGAATCATGGGAATTCGAGTTGGGGCTTGTAGATCCAGAGATCTTATTCCATCTTCAGCTTAAACAAGGTAAATGCCCCCTGTTTTGGTCTTCCATTTGGTTGTTCATCTTTAGGGCTTAGATTTTGGGTGCATTTAGGGTATCCTAAGCCATTTTTGGATTTGTGAAGTGATTCATGGGGTTCTACTTTCATATCTGAGTTATTGGAGGGGTCTCATGGCATAAAGGTGCCAACTTTATGGCCATGAGATCCCCATGCACATTGTAGAGCACCTTTTATGGATTTTTGAGCCAAAAACCCCATGCATGTGCACCAAGCTTGGAACTTTACATATAAAATGGACATTAGGAGGCCAGATATCTGGTTTTGATGTGTTAAGACTCATTTAAATCGACTGTATAGTAAAGGTCAAGCAGGGACTTGACGAGTTGTTCTTGGAACTCGACGATTCAGTGTGTATTAACCACCAAATCCTTTTTGGGGATGGACTGGTTATCTTGGAAGGAAGTCCCGTATATGCTTAGACACGTAAAGGGACCTGGGAATCATGGGACTCGGCGAGTGTATGAACAGACTCAGCGAGTCCAAGGCAATATCCCAACCGTTGAAGATGGACTCGACAAATTGTTCATAGAACTCGGCGAGTCATAGATTGGACACGTTTTTATGAGGGAGATGAACTCACCGAGTTGAAGGAAGAACTCAGCGAGTCGGATGAAGATGATCCTGATGGTTTGAATGAAGGAAAACTCAACGAGTTCTTGATAGACTCGATGAGTGGAGTCAGGGTTGGATCGGGTTAGTGGAGCATGGACTCGACTAGTTGGTAGACCAACTCGGCGAGTTAGGTCAACTAGGTGTTGACTTTGACTGGTTATGGTTTTCACTCGGGCTAGGGTCATATGTTCTGTTTGATGACTTGAGGATTGTCATATAGGGATTGAGGAGTCGAGGAAAGTCGATCTTCGTGCAGAGGACGGTTCAGACACTACACGACATCGAGGTGAGTTACCTTCCAGTAGGGGTGAGTCTAAGGCCAAAATGTCGACCCACCAACAGGGGTATTTAGTAAATAATGGTCTTTGTGATAATTATCTTGGTTTTGGTTATGTGATTTAGTCATGAGATATGCCTATGTGATATGACATATGTGTCAGTGGTAGTGACAGAGAATAGTCTTCCCCTGGCATATACCGTTAGGACCAAGGGTAGGTCAGTACCCTGATATGCATGACTGTATGTTTATATCTTGTTACTGTATGCTAGTGGTAGGGGTGAAATAGTCCCCAATTATCGGTCAAAAGATACCGATGGTAGTTACTGGTTAAAAGATACTGATGGCGGTTACCGGTTGAAAGATATCGATGATAGTTACCGGTTGAAATATACCGACGATGTTATATGGTATGCGGTATGATGGGGGAACTCACTAAGCTTTGTGCTTACAGTTTTTGGTTTTGGTTTCAGGTACCTCTTCATCGAATGAGAAGGAGCCGATGGTGTAGCAGCGCATCACACACATACATGATTTCCGCTTTGGTTTTTGGGATTGTACTCTGATTTTTCATTACTTTTGATGCTATGGTTTTGAGACATGACACTACAGTTTTATGTAATTTTGGCGATGTCTTGATAAGTTATTTTATAAACTACTTAATTAAAAATGAAATTTTTGGCCTTTATTTTTGGGATGTTACAAGTTGGTATCAAAGCCCTGGTTTGAGGGATTCGGACACACCCTCTGTTGGATAAGGTGTTTAAGTCCATAACTATTTCTGGTAAATACTTGACCCGACCCGGCATGGTCCATTTGGGTTGCATGGAATCATGCAATTGAATAAACTAAATGAGAGAAATAACACTTATGGTTATTAATATATTATAAGTTCTAATATATTAATAATATTATTTAATTAGTTTTGATCAAGAATTAATTTAGAATTAATTAAGTGATCAAAAGATAACTAATTAGATATATGGGTAGATTAAGTAAATCTTCCATATCTTATATAGTGGGCTAATAGGCTCCATGGATTGTCAAGTTGGGTTCCACCCATAGGATGCAACATGGATGCTCCATGGAGTTAACCCATGGATCAAGAAATGAAGAGTCATGGAACATTAGGGTTTACCTAATGCAACACACTATATAAGCAATGTAACCCTCCCCAAAATCGGTGACACTAAGAAATAAGAGGGCTTGGCCGATTTTGCATGTGTTAGAGTATTCTCTCAAGTTTATTCTTTGCATTTGGTGTTGTGTGAAGCATTTGAGGCATCACACTTAAGGTGCTAGGCTCACAAGGTTTCAAGGAACACTTTCAACATCAAGGTCTGTAGTTCTATCTTTTACACAAAGAAAATTGTACCCCATGTATGCTAGATAGGTTCATAACCTTGGAAAACAACTTTGCATGATTATTAGACAAACATAGATCCAAGGTTATTAGGGTTGCATGTACACTTAGGAAGTGTTAGAATGCTCAAAACCCATCACCCTCGGGGGTTTCTGGACTCAAACCGAGGGACTAAAATATTTTTCAAGGAAAAACAGTTCTAAATTTTTAAGTTAAGGAATTTTGAGAAAAGACAAAGTGTGTGATGTGTGCGACCGGCCGAGCTCAAGTAAGTTTCCCCAAGATACCCATGCTTGTTATGTTATT